TTCTTTTTTGTTCTCTGAGACTTACTGAAAGCAAAAAGCCTGCTTCAGTGATTGATTCAGTCTTGCTTCCAAGCCAGAAAAGCACAGTCAAGGCTTCATAAGCCCCTCAAAATTGATTTTTGGGGGCATTGTGCAGATTTTTGTTGTGTAAAAGATGGCATTGTTACTTAATCTGCCCTTTATAAAAGCCAAATGTCTTGAACGAATGCTCCTTGCCTTATTCCTTGTCACCAGTTGACTTTACCTGCTTACCAGGAAGTTAATCTGAGACCTGAAAGGCAAACAAGGCTTTGTACGCTAATGATTCCTGTGTCTTGTCTGTTATCTCACACTTGAGTGCTCACTTGCTTGTGTATGCTCGCTCGCTCTCTCTCTCTCTTGCTATTGGAAGAAAAGAACCCTCAAAAACATTGGTTTCTGTGTACTAGCGTTGAACGTACATCTTTCAATGTATTCTTTGCCATTAGTTTCTTGCTGTCTTGCTTGCTGTCTGACTCATTAGCTCAAGCTCAGCTTCATTTCACCTGCTCTTTCCCAAAAGAGTTGTACTTAAAGAAGGTTCATGACACTCTTCTTATTCTGAACTACTCCTTTTCAGCAGCTCCATTGGATCCACACTTAATAAAATTTAACTTTCTCCTGGCTCAATGGCTCTCACTTCACTGTTTTCTTTCAGGTTCACTCTGTGAAATGAGATCTGTGGCAGGGATGACAAACATGTGGCCTGCAGGCTGGATGCGGCCCAGTCGATGTATTAACTCAACCCTCATGTCAATTTACCATTACATTGTCATCTGGACTGCTGCCAACGGCGGCAACTGACACAGTGCTCAAGCACAGTAGCTTTTGCACGTGGAGCTGGGTGCACACGGCAAAATTGACTAATAGTTGAATGAGTTTCCTTTTGCAGATGACGCCTTTTTAAAAGACTTTGGTGTTGAATAACCATTCATCTACACATGGATGAGCATGCAGAATGAAATGTATTAGCCTGTGTAACAGAAGTGCAGAATATGCCTATGTAGTCTGTAGCATTGACCGTTGGATCACTATTGAAAATGTCATGTGACTCTCATCATAGAATCAGTTTGATATGTCTGGCCTACGTGAACCATCTAGGTTCATGTTATAAGGTGATGGAAACCTGAGAACTGTCCAAAGCAAGTAAATTCAGAAAGATCTGTTTGTCTGGACTCAGTTTGAAACAAACACTTTTCTGAAGCTTTCCTTTTACAGCCGGTTTAGTAAGTCAAACAGGTTTTTTTCAGCACTGTGTTTTATCTAAATGACCTTTATTGTTCTTTGGTTATAGAAAATAAAAAATGAGAAAAAATATCTGTTAAAACAGTTGCTTGGATTATATTGTAAAAATTGTTCACATAGTTTTGGAAATGAGCAAAATGGATAAAAAGCGCTATTTATGATAAACACTTGAGGAAATGATAGTCACCATAAAGAACTTGAAAACTTAAAAATTGAACTATGAACAGTTGTACCAATGAGCTACCGCTCTTGAAGATAGCAATTAAGAATATCCTCTATACTATCCTCTATACTATCTGTACTGTAATGAGCTTCAATAACAAATAGTGCAATGGTGACGATGCTGGCAGGTATCTTTAAAGGAGCTATGTTGCGGCAGATAAAGCATCTGGTTATTTTTATTTATATGATAACAATCATTGCTCTGCAATCTTTTCTTTTTCAAAAGTCAATTCAAACACTAAATCTGCACAAGAAATTCTTACAATATGAGGGAAGATCTTATTTTGATTTAACGCCTTAAAATATAGGGGATAGTTCAATATAAAAGTGATGGATCAAATATTGGTTTCACTGAAGTCAATTGCACTTCCATTGGACTAACATTTAACTCCCAAGGTTATGCTTAAGGGTTACACTTAAGATCAAAAATTACTTGTTTCCTTTTTAGGTATCTTAAAGCTGGTGGAACAATAATATTTGATACCAGCTGAGGATTTGATCAAAGTTGTAGGGCAGGATCCTTGCAATGAATTGGTGGGAGGGGAGGGGCAGGGGGTTGCTTCATTATTCTGGCTGTCCACTATCTAGAAATAGTAGGTGGTTGTGGTGAAGGTTTTAAACCCCCCCCACCCCCCGCTCTAGGGAGCTGTTTATCTCTCTTCTTTGCAGGAACCATCCACTCCTGACAAACTACCCTTATAACTTACATCTCTGTTGGCAGTCTGTGTTGAGGCAGGATGCACAGAGACTGGCTAATTACTAGGTTGAATGCTGAGCTGGATTCTGGTACATCCCTGTAAATCTAGAACAAGTCCCCTGGAGTTACCAGTGTAATTGGGAGAATAAGGTAAACACCCGGAAATGAATTTCCCCTTTGTCTCTAGAGGCCAGCTCTCCAGAACGTTACTGAGGTAGATGTAAGTGGCACACACAGGACAAAGTAAGTAGTCTTGTGCTGCTTCTGCTCATTGTTATACCTGTTATGTAGATTATGAGACTTCACTTTCAAGTGTTTTCAGAGAGGTACTTATTTTAAGTGCCAAAAAAAAATTGAAAATCATTTGTAAATATGATGTGTTGTAGAGTATATTGAACCAATACTAATAAGACATGACAGGCACTTCATTTGAGGAGGACTGCATACCTTGAGTGCTTTACATGGCATGAGGCCAACATGCAAGTGACTTCAGCTATCCAAGAAATACACTGATCGGCTACAAAGGTACTCTAGCACCTGCACTGCTATAATAAGAAATGAAAAATTAGCTTAAAAATAAGAGGAAGGATCATACTCAGAAATGTACTGAGGAATACTGATGGCGATGGGTCATGAATAAAAACTCTAATTGTAGAAATGATAAAAACATTTAATAATTATTTTGGTGCAGAAGCTCTTGCAATTTGCAAGGAGCTTTCTCACATCCTCTGTTCTGTTAAAGACTGCATGCAATAGGGAATAGTTAGTATTCAGTAACATTTTATTTAGCACTGTTGCATCTGTATTGGGTTTCTTTTCAGAGCATAGAATTGGGTTGTTATATCTGTTGGAAGTAATGAAATTTTCATCTTGGGCGGCCACAAATTTTCCAACGTTCAGGAAAAAAATGAAAGAGTAGAAAAGTAAATGCCAACTATCTTGATAGTTGATGACTGGCTTTTGGGCTTAATAACCACATCAGTGACACTTAATGTTATTTTCAAATGCAAATTTATATTTGCAAATATAAATTCAGTCTCATGTTTTTAATATTATTCAAGGTAAATCCAAAGAGCTCTGTTGTGTTACTTATTTTATACACCAAATAATGCTGATATTATAAATTCAGTTTTCCTTGTCTGTGAAAGGAAAATTGTGCCCAGTGGGCGTTTCTACATGACATGCTTCGAGCGCAGTAGACTCATTTTATTGTGCATTAGCATGGTGGGCAAAACCCATGCTAATGTGTTAATGCACAGTAGAATTAGTCTACTACACAGAAGGATCACTTAAAATATGTGCACAGGTGCTACTGCACAATAGCACCAGTGACTGCGCATTTACTTAGTACCTGCTATTATAGATACTAATCTAAATGCGCAGTAACCACTGTGCTAATGCACATGTAGACATGCCCATTGTGTCCTAAGATGCTTGTACCACTTGTTTCAAATACAGTGTACCTTGCAGTAATGTCAGTTTGGCCAATGAAAAGAATAAACATCATCCTTATGTAACATCCAAGCCACCCTGTACCAAAAGACTTGCAAGACCAACTTGCTCCAAATCCTTGCTTGTTAAATGGTTGATTGACCACTATTTCTAAAGCTAGAAACTAAATTCATTAGATTAATACTATAAGCATCATAGCCAAGATACCATACTTTAAATATTGTAAGGTTAGTGGGAAAGGTGATCATTTTAATCCTTCATGTTTTAATATAAGACAAAAACCCATGACCATACGGCCTTGGATTATGTTTGTATGTGTGCTGCAGTTAATAGACTTTTTCATGCTGGAATAATAGATACTTTTTGCATCTGAAACCTTAATCCAGTGTGAAATACCAATCCAGTTGTGTCGTGATGTCACAATGATCAACACCTCATCTAAGGAGTAAGCAGTAGGGACAGATGAGAATATTTCCCCTTCCTTTCCATACAATTTGCCTCCTAAGGGAAATGATAGAAAGGAGGGCAGAGGAAAACCTCATATTTAGAAATAGTTCTGTCTCCATTGCACTTCCCAGCCTGTGGCAGGTACTTCAGAACCAGCTATTAAAGCATGGTTCCAAACCTTAGCTCCTGCCTGATGTGTGGTACCAAACCTTAGCTCCTGCCTGATGTGTGGTACCAAATCTGAGCTCCTGCCTGATGTATGGTATGAAACCTTAGCTCCAGCCTATGTGTGGTACCAAATCTAAGCTCCTGCCTGATGTATGGTACCAAACCTTAGCTCCAGCCTATGTATGGTACCAAACCTTAGCTCCACCTGCCATTCATTTTTTCCTTTCCCATAACCCATAACAATCTTTTTTTTTTAACCATAGTTGCATTTGACTGCGCAGAAGGAACCCAACAGCATTCATTTGAAATAACACAAGAATCTTCTTCCCCAAACGGGCCAAATACCCCCCCCCCCCCCCCGATTAAAATACATTTTCTTTTTTTAAATGTGAACTCAAAAAACAACCAAACAAACACCAAACTCGTGCAAAAGTTGCAAAAGCACAATGCCTCCACGAAGAGCCCCTGTGGAAAGCTGCTGCTGGGTGCGCGGCGGGGAGCGGAGCAGCGCTGCGCTGCGCTGTGCTGTGCTGAGCGTGGGGCACTGTGATGTCGGCGGGGCGGAGGAGGCGGCTGCGGCTGTGACATCGGTCCCGGCGGGGCTGCACCGGGCACGGGGTGCCCCCTTTTCTGTTCTTTTTTTTTTTGCAAGGGAGCAAAGTTTCACCCCGTGTGCCCTCGGCGCTGACTCGAGCGAGGGGCCCGTG